TTGGTCGTTGGCCAAATCTCCGAAGAATATGAGGCCAAGGAGGGGAGAATGAAACAGTACAAGGAAGCGGCCAAGGAGTTGCTTAAGGTATTTGAGGCACACTCTCTCACTCAAATACCGAGGGCTCAGAACTCTGAGGCCGACATATTATCTAAACTCTCGGCAGACTCCCCCGAGCACATCTCCAAAATTGCCAAAATCGAGGAACTCAGCCTCTCAAGCATCCATGCAAGCCCCGTGATGAACATACAACAACGTCAGGAGGATTGGATCTCAGATATCACCGCCTTCATCTCCACATGGCAGCCACCTGAGAATGAGGCCCGCGCTAAACTGGCAAAGCTGAGGGCTCCCAGCTACACCATCGAAGATGGAAGGCTCTACAAACGATCTTACAATGGCACACTACTTCGGTGCCTTCATCCAGATGAAGCCGAGGTCGCAATGGAGGAAGTGCACAGTGGCACTTGCTCAGCTCACCAGGGACCCTTCTCCATGTCCCGAAGGCTCATTCTCCAGGGCTACTTCTGGCCAACCATGGCCAGGGATTGTGCTGACCTTGCCCGGAGGTGCACCCCATGTCAACATTTCCAGAAAGCCCCCGGCAGGCCAGCGGTCAACTATGCCCCCATCAGCACATCTGTCCCATTTTCTCGATGGGGGATAGACTTTGTGGGCCCTCTGCCGAGGGGTACCTCCAACAACAGGTACATCATTGTGGCCGTCGACTACTTTACCAAGTGGGTGGAGGTTGAACCCCTCGCCAGCATCACAGAGGCAAAGTGTCGTCACTTCGTCCTCAAGAACATCCTCACAAGGTTTGGCGTCCCCCAGCAGATCATCTCCGACAATGGGACACAATTTGAGGTAGCCCCCTTCTGTGCCCTTCTGGAGGCATGGGGCATCAAATACACCTTCTCCTCCGTTGCCTACCCTCAAGGCAACGGGTAAGTAGAGAATGCCAACCGGACCTTGCTCGAGGGCCTCAAAAAGAAGCTGGAGGCCGAGGGCGGTGGCTGGGTAGAAGAACTCCACAACATCCTTTGGGCCTATCGCACCACCCCTCGGCGAGCAACAGGTGAAACACCCTTCTCCCTCTGCTACGGTTTTGAAGCCAAAGCCCCTACGGAAGTCACCCTTCCCACCCGAAGGGTGATCCAATATGACCCCGAGGTCAACGACAGCAACATGGCCCTCGACCTCCACCTCATTTCAGAACGCCGGGAGCAGGCCTTCATCCGGGCAGAAAACTACCGAAGGCAAGTTAAAAGCTACATCGACGCCAAAGTTCGAACCCGAGAATTTCAAGTGGGGGACTATGTCCTCCGGAGGAGGGAAGCCAGCCAACCAACCGAGGGGGGAAAAATGGCACCAAAATTCGAAGGCCCCTACATCATAGCAGCCATCATCAAACCCGGGACCTACAAGCTCAAACGCCCCAATGGGAAAGAAGTCCCTAGGCACTGGAATGTACACCATTTAGTTAAATTTTATCAATAATGTAAGAGCGGCGAAGCCCTCATAACTAGTGAATGTACTATCCTATGGCCCAAGGCCTCCAATTTCGAAGAATGAAGATACATTCAAGACATCAAGCCCTCATACTGACTACAGGCCCCAGGTCTCACCACGAGAAGAACCCCCTCTGGCACCAAGTGCCGAGGGCGGACACCATCAACACCTACAACAAACAGTGAAAACACCACGTGTTTCCAGTCAAGACCCCTCGGCACCCAGTGCCGAGGGAGGAAACTCCTATCACCAACAACAAGGAACGCCATGTGTTTCATTTCCCTTCGGCACCCAGTGCCGAGGGTACATTCCCACCTTCAACATCAAAAAAGAAGAGATGAGAACACCAAGTGTTCCTACAGAAGACCCTTCGGCACCCAGTGCCGAGGGTACACCTCCATCATCAAACATCGAAACGAAAAAAAAAAACACCAAATGTTTCAAAGAAGACCCCTCGGCACCCAGTGCCAGGGATATGCTCTCCTATCAACTTCCAAACATCTGTTGGGAAACATCAAGTGTTTCATTTGAAGACCCTTCGGTACCAAGTACCGAGGGTAGACACCTCCATCAACTACAACAAAGAGAACACCAAGTGTTCCTACAAAAGACCCCTCGGTACCAAGTACCGGGGGCTACACATCGAAACTAACACCAAGTGTTGTTTCTAAAAGCCGTACCCCACGAGGACGCATATACCGAAGGCGCCACCATCGGTGCCGGCGGCACGTAGTGCCCCCGGCCATTTGCAACTAGTGTGCAAATGAAAACCCTTCCTTGAAACGCTTTCCGCGTCACTACCCCCAGGGTATGACAGGCATGAGAAATGCCCAGGATTCGACTTTCAAAAACGGAACGCTATCCGCGTCACTACCCCCAGGGTATGACAGGCATGAGAAATGCCCAGGATTCGACTTCCAAACCGAAACGCTCCCCGCGCCACCACCCCAAGGGTGTGGCAGGCCACGGACTATGTCTAGCGCCGAGGGGACGACTTTCAAAAATGAGGCGCTTTCCGCGCCATCCCCCAAGGGGAGGCAGGTTACGGACCACCATATCTTGTGCCCAGGAAACGTCCCTCGATCCCCTCGGAACTCGGAAGGTTAACCCGAGGGAGGAGAGCCATTGGTGTATTCTGATGGTCTCCTAATAGGCCCAGCCTTACCAAGAAACCAAGTTTCTTGATGCCTTCCCTTCACCACCAACCAAATAAAAAAAAAGGGGGGGTGTGAAGGGGAGTAGACTCAGCGAGAAATCAAAGAGTACACTCCAACAGATCACAACAAGCCGAGGGCTCCCCACGGGAACACCTCCGGTAACTGAAGGCTCCTATTTCCCGAAGGATACTACTCAAACAAATATCATCAGGAAACGGCTAAGTCCACTACCTGGTCACCTCCGGTCACAAAAACACCGAAGGCTTCAACAATACAAAGGGATTGGACTATCGAAGGCATCTGTTATGCACGAATACCGAGGGCCCTTTCCCCATGACAAGGGTCAAATTCTACAACTTTTAAAGTGTATGCCGAGGGCACACACTCCTCATTGACTTTCTTCACAACAACAGGACTCAACATCAATTTATGCTTAGAAAAAATTCTAAGTCCTGAAGGAGCGGCCCCCGGGCATCTCGCAAAGTAATGTAGAGTCAGAAGGCACCTATCACCGGAAGGCTACACAAAGAAACAACACTTGAAAAATTCCAAGTCCTAAAATTGGGCCCCCGGCTCAATCAACACTACAGCCAGGGGAATACAATAGCCGAAGGCTATGCGATACAACAACACTTGCAAACAAAGAAAATTTCTATGTCCTAAAGATGGGCCCCCGGCTCAGTCAGTATTGAAACTAGAGGAATATGACAGTCGAAGGCCATACATCAAGAAGGGATGCCATCTCCCGAAGGCTCCCAAGGGAAAATCCACACTTAGAATGTTTTCTAAGTACTACATGCTTTTCCCCGGTCAACTACTTATACATCAAGGAGGGATGCCATCTCCCGAAGGCTCCCAAAGGAGATTTTGCACTTAGAAGATTTTCTAAGTCCCACATATTTTCCCCCCCTGACAGCTACTCATACATCATGAAGGGATGCCATCTCCCGAAGGCTCCCAAGGGAAACTCTACACTTAGAAGATTTTCTAAGTCCTGCATATTTTCCCCCCGGTCAACTGCTCATACATCATGAAGGGATGCCATCTCCCGAAGGCTCCCAAGGGAAACTCTACACTTAGAAGATTTTCTAAGTCCTACATATTTCACCCTCACCTCAAGGGACCTAATGGCCGAAGGCTGCCTATCAATCGAGGGCTACAGTACACAAGGAATCAACATTCAAGAAAATTTTCTAAGTCCTAAAGAATTGGCCCCCGGCCTATTCAATATTTCAGTTGGGGCTCCACAGTAGCCGAAGGCTACATGGCATACTACACTTGCAAAAAATCTCTAAGTCCTGTGCATTGGGCCCTCGGTCCAACATTCACACATCAGGAAGGGACGCCGTATCCCGAAGGCTCTCAAGGGGGAATCTACACTTAGAAAATTTTTCTAAGTCCTAGGAATTGGGCTACCACAAACACCCGAAGGCCCCATGCTGTGCTACACTTAGAAAAATTTTCTAAGTCCTAATTCCTGCTGAACCCTCGGTTGCATATCCAGCAGAGGGTGCCCAACAACCGAAGGCTTCCAAGGGCAAGTTGCAATCGAAAAATATTCTAAGTCCTAAAACATACATTCAAGAAGTAGGAGGCATACATTCAAAACATAAGGCGCATTCAAATGTAAAAAGCCCGGGGGCAGCATGCATTCATAAAAAACAGAGTAAGTGTGAAATTTACAAACAGGCCGAAGCCGAAGGATCAAAGTTGTTCATTACAAAATATGTTCAAGGATTTTTAAATACAAAGTCACTCTACAACTACAACAGCATCATTCACCGGGGCGCCCTCTGCAGCCGGCCTCGATGATGCCTCCGCTCCGGTCTCGACAGCGTCGTCCTCGGCCTCATTCTTCAACTCCGTGTCCTCAAGGTCGGGCCTCTGAACACCTTCCGGGAGCGACTCACGGACATCAGGCTGCAGGGGAGGAAGGCCATATGCCGAGGGGGAGAAGTCCTTTTGCTCAATGCCCAAATGTCGGGCCATCCTCCGGTAGATGAGGGCCTGGGTGAAGAATTCGTCGGCTTCATAGTACTCTCTGCCCTTCCGGGCCATCCATTCCCACCCAGGGCCCTCGGCCCATTCCTCGACGTGTGCCTCCACAACCGAGGACAGCCACATCTTGCGTCCCTCGGCCCTCCAGCCCTCGGCGACGAAGGCATCAACGGCTTCCTCCCGAGCCTTGGCGACGGCCAGCGCCTTGGAATCCTCGGCCTCTTTGGCAGCCCTCCTGGCCTCCTCAGCAGCGGCCTCAGCGTCGGCCTTGCCCTTCTCTGCGGCCTCCAATCTCTGCTCCATTTGCCGAAGCTCCTCTTCCAGCCTGGCCCCCCCAGCTTCACCGCCTCTTTATTTTTGAGGATGCATTCTTTCATCTTGGCATCCTGCTCGGCTTTATGGAGGCGCCATTCTTGAAGCCTCCGGGCATGTTCACCGAGGGCTAGACAAGCCTGCAGACCAACAACCAAAATGGTTAAAAACAATTGCACAATATAATCAAAGGAGAAAAGGAGGAAAGCTGAGTAAACACTTACAGAAAGGGAGGAGCGGAGGATGTGGTCCTCGAGGGCCGCATCGTTATAAGCCCCGAGGGCAGCCCTATCAGTCTCAGGGGTTATGCCCCTCAAGATGGCCCCCGGGTCGACAGCGCCGCTGGCCAGGGATGTCCCCCTCGGGAATGAGACTTGGAGGACCTCAGGCAGCAACTCCTCTGCCCCCGCCGGCGTTTCACCCGACGGCTTCTCCACATGCACCCCGGAGGCGGGGTGCTCATCAGCGATAATGACCGGGGGCTCCTTCTCGGCGACATCCCCCTTCTTCGGCTTTTTGGTAGCCGGGGGGGACCCCTTGGTCGCTGCCTTCCTCTTGCCGGCAGCGGCATCGCCCTCAGCTTTCTTAAAGAGGGCAGTGGCGGGCTTCTGGCTGCCCTGTCCCGACCCCTTCGGGTCCTGTTTCTTCAGACGAGCAAGGCCGTTTACGTTCACCATAGAGACGGGGATACCTGCACAAAGGAGACAAAGGGTTAGTCCGACGGGTCTAAGCGAAGGGACAATAACATCCAAGCAAAAAAAAACTAAGTACAAAATTCTAAAGCCCTCGGCTCCTACCTCCGGCCCCTCCGAAGGCCTTGTTGAAGGGAGGGTACTTTTCATCGGTCTCCCCTATGAAGCGGTACCTCCGGAACCCGAGGGTGTATAAATCCTCCTCGAGGGTGCAGTCTTTGATCGCCACGTTCTTATTTTTCCCCTCCGGGAACTTGGCCAGCTTTAGGCCGTCTTTCTCGAGAGCGGCACTCCTGATCTTTTCGTGCCTTCGGAATCGATCACGCAGCTCCCTCGGGAATGGGCTCTCATCCAACTTTACGTAGCACCAACGTTCCCTCCATCCTTTGTTGGAAGAAGGAGCATCGGAGAATAGTTTGAAGCGGGCAATCTGCTGCAGGTTGGCGTACCCCTCGCCGTTTTCGTGCCCCCCCGGCACAAATTAAAGCTCTGGAAGAATAGATCCAGGTTGGGCTTCACCCCTCGGGACTTGCAGAGCTGGAGGAACCCCGCAATGTAGGAGTGGCTGTTGGGCGTGAGTTGGCAGGGGACCAAGCCAACAAACCTCAAATATTCCCGGAGGAATGGGTGCAGAGGGAACCTAAGTCCCATGGAAACCGAAAGGACGTGAATAGCGATACACCCCTCGGGCGCCCTGGACAACACGTCGTCGGGACCTGGCTCCACCACTTCGGCAGAGGGCCCCACGTGCAGCTGAGTCACGTACAGATCTGCCCTATCAGCCTTCGACCTGATCTCGAGGGCCTCAGTGTTCAGCCAACTGTACCCCTCGGGCATGTCCACGGGCTTTCCTTGATCGACGGCCCTCTCCTTCTTCTTGGTAGCGGCCTTCTTCTTCTTCAAACCGGAAACCGCCCTCAGAGGTATCGGATCCAGCGGCCTCGAGCTACTGGCTTCCCCAGAACCCCGAGGGGGGAGAATAGCTATCGTAACCTTCGAGCTCTCATTCTGCGCCTCATCCTCCGCTGTTTGCCATGTGAGGGCTAAGTCTTCATCCTCGCACTCCTGCACGAAGCCCTCGGCTTCAACCTCCGCAATGAGTTCCTTCTGGACCTCCCGGGCCAGGGCTGCATCACCACCATCCGAGGGTTGACCACTGCTTGACTCCACGTCGGAGATGCCTTCGTCCTCCATCGAGGGCGTCCTCGAGATATCTTGAGAGTCACTCTGGGACGACATTCGCACTCTAGTTCGAGGGCTCGTTGACGGTAGTGTTTCCTAACTTTTCTATCTCCTAACCTAAGGGCACAGTACAGCTATGCTAGAAGGAGAAAGGCAGGGAGCACTGACCTCGAAAGCTGAGTTAGGACCGAAGGCTGGAGTTTCTCTCACTAGATTTTTTGGCAGAGCTTCGCTAAAACAACTGAGTTCGCACAACGGGAATAGCTCTGGCCTTGGGGTATTTATAGGCGATGGAATCCGGGCTTGGGCCTGGATTGCGGGCCTCCGGACGGACCGTCATCATTACACACCGTCGTTTCACCCAACCGGTGACGCCGCCCACGAACAGCCAGCCATCACACGCCACGTGTGCCATCCCCCCAACGGCTATATCCTGTCGTTACATATTCCAACGGCTATATTTCCAACGGCTATATTCTGGAAGCCCCCGGGTTTTCTACTTCACTCCTCTTCATCAAGGGTAGCCTCCGGGTACACTCACTCAGAAGTGCCCCCGGGTTGTGCCCCGCACAGCACATAACAGTCGCCTTCGGGATCACTCCTTCAGAACCCGAGGCTTAATATCAGGGCGCCCCTCGGGGATTCCCCCTCAGCACTGCAAAACCGGGTAGCCCCCGAGGAGTGCCTCATTGACGGATGGCCCATAGCACACAGGTAATGGGAGCCCTCGGGTATCTCCATCACCAACTAACCAACAAACAGTGGACTTCCCGGTAACAACTCCATTGTCGCCCTCATCCAGCAGGCCCTCGATCCCCGAATTGAGGGGCTCCCCTTCGGCGCCACCAGGACATCCACAGCAAGCCTTCGGCTAATCAACACAGAAGCCCTCAGAAGAGAGAGCCTTCGGCATTCCCGACATTCTCCATTTTTTACCAAGGTTTGACATTTTCGATTCATCATTGGGGGAATTCGGTGCACTCTTTTTCCCTCATTAGGATTTTTTCCCAAAGGGTTTTTCCTAATGAGGTTTTTAACGAGGCATCCCCCCAAAATGAAACGAAAAGCGTCAGCCTTCGGCCCACAACAGCAACGTAACTACTCTACTCCTTTTCACCACTTTACAAGTGCCTCAAGGAGTGGGGGACTGGAGGACCCCCTCGGGAAAATCATTAAATTACAAAATCTGTGAAATTCCAACAAACAACAAAGCAAGCCCTCAAGTCCCGACATGTGGGTAACTGAGGGACTGCCTTCGGCAGGGACATAAAAGCAACAACTCCTCACCAACTTCAGAGATTACGATGGGACAACATCAAAGGGCAAGCACAAATTACTCCTTTTCCCTCAAGTACCTTTCGGCAAAAGGAGTGAGGGACTCCTGATGGAGTATATGGCCCGGGAACCCCTGGCCCACAGACTCCTACTACCCCAGCGAAGGCCCAACAGGCCCAGGAGGCCCAGGAGGCCCAAATCACAGCGCTCGGAGTACCAGGCAGTCCGCACTGCGCGCCAGGGGTGCCTTCGGCCCCCAGGCCGAAGGCTCCAAATTCTCACATAACGGGTTTCTCAAGCAAATTAAGAAACTGGGAGAAAACGGCGAAAACAGTAGCCCTCGGCACTGTGAGCCCTCGGCAGCAGGGGGCCATCGGGTGGAAGAGCCCTCGGCTACTGCTCTATAGCCGAGGGCATCTCACTCGACAAGATATCCGCCTCACATGCGTACAGATCACCGTACCCCGCACAGACGTCCCATCCAACAACTGCATTAAATGCGGCCACATGCGGCTGCCAGCGCCAACCAGTTGAGGTGACCCCTCGGCCAATGAGCGCTTGACACGTGTCCCTGCCCGGCATTTATTGCTACTATAAATAGCACCTCATTTCCTCATTTGTAGACACGCTGAAAACGGCATTCATACTGAATACACTCTCTCTCTACTTTTACTTACTTGCTCTGACCTCTCTCTAAGTTATTCCCCGTAATAACCCTTCGGATATATACCCCCGGGTAGACTATCCATCACTTGGTAAGGCAAAAAGAATTACAATCCTGAAAGATGACCAAGACGAAGCGGGCAGTATCAATCCTGACAATGACCAGGACGAAGCGAGCAGTATCACATCCGCGTAAGAATCAAGCAATCAAGGAACAATCCCTACTGGCCACAACATCCCGGATGGCCGATACAGGCACTGAAACCCAGGCTGTTGGTCAAGCGAAAGTTCTTTGAGGATTTGTCCAAGTGTAACACTTGGAGAAAATTCTAGGGAAAAAGGTTCCTTAAGAGGATTCCGACACTTAGAGAAACCATTGGGGAAAGCAAAAGGCAGCCTCATCGGCCACAAAGCCAGGCCTTGGCCGATGAAGGTAGGACCACCTCTTAGCCGACAACGGTACCCCAAAGAAGAAACTGTCTGGCATTTATACTTAGAAAATTTTCTAAGTATTCGTATGAAGAAACTCTAGACGAGGCGGGCACCTGTACACCCGCAGGCCGTTAGCTACCTGTGACTTGCATGTGTACTTAGTAAAATTTCCAAGTTCAAAAACTAAGTTCAAGGTACCCTTATCGGCCACAACAGGAGGACCCAGGCCGACGACAACGACATTGGTCAACACTGAGAGATTCAATACCAGGACGATGAGAACACCCATCTACTTGAAGTTGGACACTTAGGAAAATTCTAACAAAAAAGAAGAATGGGACACTGCCAAGACGCAGCGGACACCTCAGCTTGCACGCCTCAGTCAGGATGGAAAGAAAGACACTAAAACAAACCCTAGCTAGGTGGATATAAAACACTTAGAAAATTTTTGAATAAATCCTAAGTGTTACAACAACGAAGAAATACCGGACAGGTCGACCAGGCCACCAGACTGAATGGCCTACCACACGGACGTAGCAAACACTCGCGGGTGACCTAAGTGTAACTTTTACACTTAAGACAAATTTCAAAATTGAAATAGAGAAAGGGAATAAACATACAAGACATTCAAAAGCCGATCACGACAACAAAAGGATCATTCATAAACAATTATGTACATTGGTGGGCGCTTCGGCCATTACATCAGATGGGCAAAACTAGAAGATAATTAATTACAAGATAGGGAGTGGGGAGTAGCCGATCAAGACTCTTGGGCGCCTCCATGCCCAGCCTGGGTTTGCTCTTCGGCGTCCTCGGCCTCAGTCTCCTGACCGACAACAGCTGCAGAACTAGTGGCATCATCCAGGAAGTCAAACTCGTCGTAATCCGGCTCGCCGAGGCCGGAACTCTCGATTGGGGGCTCCCGCTCCGAAAGAGGAAGCTTGGCCTGCTCCTCGGGATCTTTCATCAGCTTGGGAAGCTTCAAGTTCCGCCTCGCCCACCCGGAGGTATAATTCATGGCTTTGAGGACACGCGATAGCCGCCGACACAGGAGCCTCTGCATCCGCTCTTGGCCCATGTTGTAGTACACGGCCATCTCCCTGCTAAAGTACTCCTGGCCGGCGGGGGAGTTCATTCCCCAATCTTCAAGCTTGGCGGCCACCACCTCATAATACCAGGAGAGCCGCTCATCGGCCTTCCACCCCTCGGCCAAGAACTGCTGAACGGCCTCATCAGCGGCCTTCACAGCGGCAGCCTCGGCCTCAGCTTTTGCCTTCACGGCTTCATCATTTCTGCGCCGTTCAGCCTCAAGCGCCCTCTGGCTC